AGAAAGATCATTTTTAACATTTTGTCCTTGAGTTTTTTGTTTGTTTGTTTGTTTGTTTTAGACGGAGTCTCACTCTGTTGCCCAGGCTGGAGTCCAGTGGCGCGATCTTGGCTCACTGCAAGCTCCACCTCCCAGGTTCACGCCATTCTCCTGCCTCGGCCTCCTGAGTAGCTGGGACTATACTGCGGGCACCCGCCACCACACCTGGCTGATTTTTTGTAGTTTTAGTAGAGAATGGGTTTCACCGCATTAGCCAGGATGGTCTTGATCTCCTGACTTCGTGATCCACCTGCCTTGGCCTCCCAAAGTGCTGGGATTACAGGCGTGAGCCACCATGCCTGGCCTTCTTTTTTTTTTTTAAGATGGAGTTTTGCTCTTGTCATTCAGGCTGGAATGCAGTGGCGTTATCTTGGCTCACCGCAACCTCCACCTCCCGGGTTCAAGTGATTCTCCTGCCTCAGCCTCCCAAGTAGCTGGGATTACAGGTGCCCTCCACCATGGCTGGCTAATTTTTGTATTTTTAGTAGAGATGGGGTTTCACCCACTGTGTTGGCCAGGCTGGTCTCGAACTCCTAACCTCAGGTGATCTGCCTGCCTTGGCCTCCCAAAGTGCTAGGATTACAGGTGTGACCCGCTGCTCCCGGCCCTTGAGTTTTCATTCTGGCTTTACAGCTACTGTAGTCGTGTGGCATTGGGCAGATTATTTCACATCTCTGCTCTTTGGGTGTCTCCCTTGTAAAGTGATTTATGCGTTGGGACTTTGGGGGCTTCTAGCAAAATGGATCCATTAAGTGGTAGGGGCATCAGTTTTAGAATAAGGGCACAGTACAGGCCCAAGAATGAATACGCTACATTGGTCTTATTCTCAGCAACTAAGTACACAGTTAAACATTAGTTTTGGTATGTGAGCAACTTGATGCAGTAGGTAACTGCTGTTTTCCTTCTGTTGCATTCAGTCTCTCATCTTGATGTATTCCTTTCTTTTCCTCATGCACATGGTGGTGTTCTGTCCCTCTGCTGTTCTTGTCATCATTTTCATTTCACTTTCCTTGTGTTTCATTCCTCTGTCTTTCTTATCTAGACCAAGCGGAGCAGCCAGCTGGCAGTAGCACCCTGTAGGACCCCCAGGACCCGATGGTAAGTGCACTTGTGTGCTTGCCTGGCTCCCAGTGGCTCCTGCTCCTCTGCTTCACAGAGAGAAGCTCACAAATTTCATCTCCTCTTTGTAAATGTCCTTATGGGTTTAGTTTTTTTCTTTTAATTTGATGACATATAGGACAGAAATCAGGTGTCAGAAGAAATCAGTACTGATTTAAGGAAATGTGGCAGGTTCCACCATCTGTTGCTGCAATATTTGGAGGTTGTGAGTGACACCAAGCATGTGTATGTGTGGGCAGGACCCCTGGTTCTGCTTTCTGTTCTGCCATAGACTAATTAGTCCCTCTCTGGCCCTGGCCTTCACTTTCTCCCACGAAATTGAAGGCAGGACAGGTGGTGATGATAGTTCCTTTATCCTAGTCTAAGGCCGTCATGACGAGAAGTAACTTAACAGATGGTTCTCATGAAGATTGAGAACATTGTTTCAGGTGTCAGATAATCTCAATTCTATGACAGACTCGTGATACACTCATTTCCTTGATAAACTAAGTCTGTTGGTGTTCACCAAATTTAGTTTGGTGGTAAATTTAGTTCTTCATCGCTCCATTTTAGAATTAGCTTATTAGTGTTATTCAAGTACTTTTTGTAATTTTTAATACGTACATAGACTGTTAAGTTTCACAGGTCTTTAGTGACACAGAAATGCATTGGTCTAGCCCAGTGGTTCTTAACCTGAGGAAATCTCCCCAGGGGACATCTGGCCATGTCTAGAGACTTTGGATTGTCACAATTAGAAGCGGGGTACCACTAGCATCTACTAAATAGAGGCTACAGGTGCTGTTAAACATCTTCCAGTGCATCAGACAGCCCACCCCACAGCCAAGGGTTGATTATCTGGCCCAGATGTCGTTCGTGGTGTGGTTGAGGCACCTTGGTACCCCGTAGTGGTCTGTGGCGGGATACCTTCCTTAGTCCTCTGATAGGATACAGGAGATGTACCTACTACAAATGGCTTCTACTCATAGTGGATTAGGTTTCCAGGGTCATGACTTTTAAAGAGAACACCTGGGGAGAGAAAAGGGAGTTCTCACTGATTAGTTTTGGTTGTCCAAAAAAGGAATTTGACATTTAGAGTCAGCTAGGTGCTCTAACGTTCTTGTTATAAAACTTAAAATAGCACTTTACCTTTTAGATAGTGATTTCGAGTGCATCTTAATGGTATTAAGATTGTACTTCCTTTTGTTAAGATTTCGTCTAGACATTTTACTTATTTAATACTCTATTTACATATAGAACAGTGTACTTTGCTTTTTATATGACCTACAGACTGGGTTTGTACAGCACTTGGGAGGTTGTGGAAAAATCTTTGCATTTCTTTTGCAAGTGATTGTATTACAGCAAATTGACATCTGTTTTTCTATTAAATTTTACAGTGTGGCCCTTCTTTAAACGTGTGTAAGCTTTATGCAAGGAGTGAAGGTTTACATTACACCTCTCTTTTAATTTATTGTAAAAGCTCATACTAAGTACTAAGTAAATGATCAGTAAAAAAAAGGGCACATTCCTTGGCCTGTTTGGGGCACCTGAGGGGGTATGTCTTATAAAAATGTCATTGGATTCAGGGAAAAAGTTTCTGAATATGATTTTTGAATCTGTGGGCTACGCCAGGAACTCCTTCTTCACATGGTCATAAAAGAAGCCATGGATTTCCTCACACATCAGTTGCAGCACAGAGAAGTTATGTCAGTAGTCATTTATATTTGTATTATGGATGTGTTTGGGCAATGAGCATTTTGTTTGCTATCAGTAATCTAATATGGGCTGAGCATTACACACAGACAGAACTAGCTTATGTCATAAGTGTAAGAGAACTGATGGAAAGGAGGTAGAATCCAAATTCCCTTAAAACTGGATCCCTGAAGAACCTTTGTCCTTATCTGATTTAGACAAAGTGCTGTTAAGTTGACAGAGGGAGAAAGAATCACAAGAGGAGGTTATGCCTGTGGAAAGGTGCTTAGATGTTTGTGCCCCTTATGGAGGGAGATTGGCTTATAATTCCTCCCCTGGAGACACGTGTTAGTCAGCTCTGTGCAGATCCTTCACTCTTGTTACCACCGGAGTGTGGTCCCAGTAAAGTGTATGTTTGTTTCTTGCGTTCCATTTTAAGTGCCTTTGGAAGTGAATGGATAGACAGGCTATCAGGAATTTATTTGCTCAAACCCTTATAAATGTAGTGGCAAAAAAATTGAATTTCCTATGGGCTGAAGAATTAGGTGTTTAGGCCGGGCGCGGTGGCTCACGCCTGTAATCCCAGCACTTTGGGAGGCCGAAGCAGGCAGATCACGAGGCCAGGAGATTGAGACCATCCTGGCTAACACGGTGAAACCTCGTCTCTACTAAAAATACAGAAAATTAGCCGGGTGTGGTGGCAGGTGCCTGTAGTCCCAGCTACTCGGGAGGCTGAGGCAGGAGAATGGCGTGAACCTGCGAGGTGGAGCTTGCAGTGAGCTGAGATCGCACCACTGCACTGCACTCCAGCCTGGGCGACAGAGTAAGACTCCGCCTCAAAAAAAAAAAAAAAGTGTTTAAAATGATATTTTAGAATTTGCATTTTAAGACTAACAAGCAAAATGACTGTTAAGGTTATTTCTCAAATTTTTTATCAAAATCTGGTGGTGTTTTTTAGGGTTTGTTTATTTGCTTTATATTGTACTTGATGTTTCTACTTTTAATATAGATGTTTTCAATGATGCTGTTTTATGTCTCTGACCTCATTTTTGTTTGTTTACAGTTTTAGCTAATTATGCTTCTTGGTAGTGATTCTCTGTTATGGAGAATATAACTTTATGTGTGTATAGCAGCTTTAAGTCGTGTTTAGTTTGATTTTACTAATGCAGAGATAAAAAGTGTCAGAGGCTTGTAGTTCTAGAAACTGGTGGAGGTTTGTCTGGGGGAGAGCAGTGGAGAAAAAGGAGGATTGTTAGGGAAGAATGGGGATCTGTCTGGATCTGAAGACTGAAACACCAGCTTCCAGAAAAATAGAAATCTGGTAATTAAAAAATGTAAAAGAAAGGTTAAAAATTCTGGTTAAATCCTAAAGAAACTGGACTTCTGACTTCTTCAGTATAATTACTCCTATAGATAATTGTTTCTTATCTTCATGACTTGAGTTCGTTGTTCCAGCTTATCAGAATGATGTTGCAATTTAATCTTACCTTCTAAACGTATGGTATCACTTGGAATGCAGTCAGTGTTTCTGAATTCCATCCTCTGAATTGTTAATGAAATATTGACCTGGGCTGGACCTACAGTCAGATCCCTCAGGGCTCTCAGAGTGCCGTGCTGGTGGACAGTGAATTATTCATAATTTCTCTGAATTTGGTATTTGAGCCATTGTGAATGTGTATCTTTTGAAATGCAGCAGAATCTCTGCTTCTCTTGTTTTGCTTCCAACAATTATGGATAATCATGTCTTAGTTAAAAGGTCCCCAAGTTATAACATTGTTTTTCTCTAATATGCTTCTTACAAATAGTCCCTATTAACTATGTGGCATTGAAATTCAATGCTATTACTAATTTTCCTTTAACATCAATAGTAACTTTTGGAGAATACCTTACCTCATAATTTGATGGTCATTATAGTTATGAAGGGAACTAATGCCCGAGATTCTCAAAAATACAAGATTGATGGGTTTCTTTCTTTTCCCCTCTGTCATCATTTACCTGTGTAACATAGTATTTATAGTCATGATTCATTCCTTTCTTTAGGAATCCAAAGTGATAATTGCCCAGGAATATACAGTGTGCTTGATTGGATTAATAATTGTCTTCTTCAGTAATTCAGAATAACACATGAACGAATGAAAGAATAAATGAATAAATAAATAAAAATTGTGTTTCAGGGAAGAAAAAATCCCAGGAAAATAAAAACAAAGGAAACAAAATCCAAGACATACAACTGAAGACAAGTGAGCCAGATTTCACCTCTGCAAATATGAGAGATTCTGCAGAAGGTAAGCTTGTGATATTGGCCTGGTCTGAATTGAGTATATATGTACCCAGTGAATTTAACTTTGTGTCTCCTTGTGTTGTCCTTCTGAGAATCATTTAGGATCTTCACGAGGTTAAACAGCAAAAAAGCTGCCTAAATTTATTATGGTAAGCTGAGCCTTCTATATGCTACCTTCCCTTCAAACAATTATGAAAGACTTTTCTTCTTAAAAATGAACTTGTTCCCTTGTTAAAATAAAATGAGACCAAGTGTGGTGGCTCATGCCTGTAATCCCAGCACTTTGGGAGGCTGAGCCAGAAGGATCTCTTGAGGCCAGGAGTTTGAGACCAGCTTGGGCAACACAGTGAGACCCTGTTTCTACAAAAGAAAATGAAGTAAGAACATTCACTAAGATGATGGCATGTGCCTGTAGTCCTGGCTACAGGTGGGGGGATCACTGGTGCCCAGGAGTTTGAGGCTATTGAGCTGTGATCCCCCACACTGTACTCCAGCCTGGGTAACAGGGTGAGACTCTGTCTCTGAAAAAAATAAAAATGATAATAAAATGAAACATATGATTGCATTTAAAAATCGCATAAAGTTCAAAACCATCAAAAAATAGTGATAGTAAAAGGACATGAGGAGGCTCCTGAGGTGCTTGTTGTTTTCTGTTACTCATCTGTGGAATGGTCACATGGGTATATATGTTTAGTGAACATTTTATCTTGCTGTATATATACTTAACTATTTGTACACTTTAATACATGGATGTTTTATACTTTAAGCATTTACTTAAAATATCAAAGATCTTTGATTTTTGTGTAACAGAACAAAAAGTGTACAGAATGAAGTGTGTTTCTGTTTTTTGTTAGAATTTAAATTCGTATTTTCTCTCTTCGTGTTTCTCCCCTTAAAATTTTCTCCTTTATAGTCCCTCTGCTGATTAGTATTCTAGGCCTGCTGTGACGTAAGAATCCAACCAAGAGGCATGGATTGAAAGTCAGAAAGACAGCTTGCCCTGTGCTCATTGCAGTTGGGCCACCATATTGAGACTATTAATACAGAAGGGAAGGAGGTGTGTCTTAATTTGCCATGGGCAAATTTTCGCAGATCGGAGCTTACTCGAGTTGTTTGTAGTGACCCAAGTAGGCAAATTTCAGAAGACAGGTTTGTGACTCTTTAAGAAATAATTTGTAGAGGAAAATAACCAAAATATTTTGGATGCCTTTCATAACCATTTTTAAGCACTGTTTGTGATGATAACATTCATAAAATATTATAATTTTCTGTGCCATTTTATGAAGCAAGAATAGTCAAATTCATTTCCCAGAGTCTTAAAACTAAGTTCTGCCTCCTTATTGCAGATTTGCCGAGAGTTTTTTTTGAACAACAAAAATTAGTAAGGAACCTTACTACCTTTGGTGGCAGAATTAGAAAACAGGTTCAACAGTCACCTACTCCCCTTGAGTAATTCAAGACAATTATTTTTCTCCTGATGCAACATCAGGTCCCATGAAAAATGACACTTGCTGGCCCGGCGTGGTGGCTCACGCCTGTAATCCCAGCACTTTGGGAGGCTGAGGCAGGTGGATCACAAGGTCAGGAGCTTGAGACCATACTGGCTAACATGGTGAAATCCTGTCTCTACTAAAAATACAAAAAATTAGCCGGGCATGGTGGCGGGCGCCTGTAGTCCCAGCTACTCGGGAGGCTGAGGCAGGAGAATAGTGTGAACCTGGGAGGTGGAGCTTGCAATGAGCTGAGATCGCGTCCCTGCAATCCAGCCTGGGAGACAGTGCGAGACTCCGTCTCAAAAAAAAAAAAAAAAGAAAAAAATGACACTTGCTCTTTGTCCCCCAGTATGTGGCACAGCTGGTCAAAGTGGGGTCGTAGGCTTCCCCGAATGTTCTGCATTGTCCTCAGCTAATGGTCTGTATCATGAGCAAACAGTTCAGACTCTTCTTTGTGCTCCCAAACCTCCCTTTATGTTAAAGCTCCACAGATCACATCAAGTGAGTGGACCCACTCTGGCATGGGCCGTACTTGTTAATAGAGCTGGTCGGTCTTTGGTTTGTATTACTTTGGACAGTTTTAAATCTGGGATTGTTTACCAGTCATGGGGAAAGACATTTTTTCCCCATCAAAAGAAGCCACAGATTTTGACTGAAAATGAAGTCTATTAGGAAATTTCTGAGCCTTAGAATTGCATTTTCTGTTGTCTCATTTCAACTCTTTTGGCAGTATTCTGGGTCTCTATTGAACATGTCTTTGAAAAGAGAGGTAGCTCCTAATTTGAAATACATTACTACCATCGAATGACTGGTTGCCCAGTTTGTGGAAAGCTCATGGAATTTATGAAATTAGTCTAGGGGGAGAGAAGGCTGTTTCTGTTTGGAAACAGAAACCTCATTGCTAGTAAATGTAGTAGCAGATGGGAAAAATTAGTTTCCCATATTCCTGGGAAACAGCAAGGGGGCTAGGACTGAATAAGTGAGCTTGTATGAATAGTACCTGGCATTGACCTCTTCCCCACTGTGTCCACACAGTCCCCGTGTCCAGTAGCAGGCCTCTTGGATCATGAAGGTCTGGCTGCTGTTTTCTGCCTCCACTGCTTCTTCCCCTTTCCTTCTTAGCACAGCAGCCAGCATCTCCATTCTCATTCCGCTCGGCCAGTCTTGCTCCTCAGCCTCCAGTGATGACCTTCCCCCATCCTTTCACCCACCCTGCAGCCGAATCTCCCAGATGGCACTCTCCTGCTTTCAGATACCTTCAGCGGCTCCCCACTGTCCCCAGATAAGTCCACATTAATTTACAATGTTCTCTATGTTTTGATTCTTCTCTGCTTGCTTTTCCTGTTCTGTCCTTAATTCTTGTATCCTTCAGGTTCAGTCTGCTTAGCCCTTTCTCTAAGAATCCTTTCCTGATTAATCAAGCCCGTGTGAGATGCTTCCGTACCACACTTACTTCCATAAACACAGCCATTAATGTTCTATAGTTTTGTTGCCTTCCTGCTTGTGTGTGGCTTCTATGAAAGTGAAGCTCTTTGTGGGTAAGGATCTTGACAGTCTTGTTTACCTAGTACTGGCAGGTAGTGGGTGCTAAGTCAATATTTGCAAGTGCCTGGGGGAACAGCCAGGTAATGTAGCCTGGAGAAGAAGTCAGAATAGCTCTGCCTGCTCCACGGAGCCTTTCTTAACTCTCCTAGTGTCTGCAGTAGAGGGGCCCAGTTCTGCAGTGCAGCAAGTGGGACTATCACTACAGCAGCATTGGGGACCATTCCTACTAGCACGAAACCATGATTACAGCTTCTGTCTTTAAGAATCCTCTGTTGTCCCTGTGTTTTCTTCCAGTCTCTTCTGCACTTCTTTTTCTTTACAGCTAAATTTGAAAGAGTTGCTAATAGTTTCCCTGTCTCTCCCGTCTCCTTCCATTCTCTTAGGAACTCTGTTAGGCATTTGTCCCCACCGCTCCACTTGCAGTCGCAATCACCAGACCTCTGCCTTGGCAGATGGAATGTTCCATTCTCAGTCCTTATCCAACCCAGCAGGAGTTCTGAACACAGCTGATCATTCCCTCCGTGAAACAGTTTGTTTACTTAGCTGAAGGGCCACCACTCTCTTGCTTCTCCGGATACCTCACTGGCCTTTCCCCCAGCCTCAGTTGCGGAGTCATCTGGGACACAGTCGTCTCATCCCTCTTCTGCCTGTGTTCACTTGCCAGGTGACCTCATCCAGTCCGATACCTCCTCTGGCCTTCTCTAGGATTTTGAAATTTCTAGGCCAGCCTCTTTATTGAATTCCAGATTCATATAAAGCTGTCTACTTAATGTATTCAGGTACCTTAAACTCTAGCACGTCTGAAGTCAGCTCTTGATTTCCCCCACAACATGCACATGCACGTGCACACAGACCATAGTTGCTTCTCTTGTGGTCTTCAACATTTTATTAGCCAGGATTATCGCAGTTCTGTGGACTGTCGTCTTCTCTGTCACCACAACCAGTCAGCAGGCGCATTGTCAACTTCATCACCAAAGTATATCCAGAGCACTTGTAGTCCTGCCCTGCTGCCACCCCTGTGCCACCATCCTGCCTCTCCTGGAGGATGCAGTGGGCCCCGTCTGTCCATCTGCCTCCATCCTTGTCACCTAGGGTTCACTATCTTCCTTGTAGTAACCAGAGTGATTCTCTTGAATACAAATCAGATTATATATTTCTATCTGGTAGCCTGCCGTTTTCACTCAGAGTAAAGGCCAGCAGTCTGCAGGGGCTTGTGTAAGTAGGCCCCTGTTTGCATCTCCAGCCTTATCTCCTGCCCTCACTTTCCCCAGCTTCCCCACCTCACCTCACTGACGTCTTTGCTGTTCTTTGAACGCATCTAGTATGTTCTTGACTCAGTGCTTATGCATTTTGAGGATTCCTCTATCGAGTAGGGCTCCTCCGCCCGCACCCCCCAGTATTTGCATGCCTCATTTTCCTTAGGTCTCTCCTCCACTGTCACCTTCTAAGCAAGTCCTTCCATGACCGCCTTCTACCACCCACCTCAGGTGGGCTTGGCCTAGGGACTCCAAAGTGACTGCAGATTTCTGTTCCCTTCAGTGAGATGCTCCTGAGTTCTTAGAAGAGATGATCTCCAAAGATTATCTAGCGTGAAAAACTTGTGATTACATGATTCTGGAAAATGTTCTAGCTTCTGAATATAACGTTTTAGTTAAGAAGGAGAGAGGATCATTTACTCCAGACAGACTCACAAGGATCTAACCTGGTGATATGTCTGGTAATGAACTATTTCCGGTTTAGAATCATGAGAAATTAGAATTTACAACTACTCTCCTAAAATGTAGTTTACTCCAACACAATTTTAAACACTGCAGTTTGTGTAAACAGAGTTGTATGTATGTGCAACTAAACACAAAACCCCAGCTCCACACGGACATCCTTGTCTACTGCGTTCGTGTATGTATCCTCACTGCTGGGAATATTGCCTGGTATGTAGCTGGTACTCTAAATACTTGTTGAATGAATGGATGAATGAAATGGATTCATATCCAATACAACTTTATCAGTTAAGTATATAAAATAGAAGTAATTTATTGTTCCTCATCATCTCCCTCATGTTTTAGGTGGTAAGAGAAATCACTTGAATCATACATATTATTCACCAAGTAGCTGGTTTCCCATGCTTCACTTCCATGCTTCTGCTTCCATGTGCTTTCTAGGTCCTAAAGAAGACGAAGAGAAGCCTTCAGCGTCAGCACTTGAGCAGCCGGCCACCCTCCAGGAGGTGGCCAGTCAGGAGGTTCCTCCAGAACTAGCAACCCCTGCCCCTGCCTGGGAGCCACAGCCAGAACCAGACGAGCAATTAGAAGCAGCAGATTGTGAGGTGAATGATTTGGGGGAAGAGGAGGAGGAGGAAGAGGAGGAGGATGAAGAAGAAGAAGAAGATGATGAATTGGAAGAAGAGGGGGAAGAAGAAGCCAGCATGCCAAATGAAAGTTCTGTGAAAGAGCCAGAAATACGGTGTGATGAGAAGCCAGAAGATTTATTAGAGGAACCAAAAACAACTTCAGAAGAAACTCTTGAAGACTTCTCAGAGGTAACACCTGCCATGCAAATCCCCAGAACTAAAGAAGAGGCCAATGGTGATGTATTTGAAACGTTTATGTTTCCATGTCAGCATTGTGAAAGGAAGTTTACAACCAAACAGGGGCTTGAGCGTCACATGCATATCCATATATCCACCGTCAATCATGCTTTCAAATGTAAGTACTGTGGGAAAGCCTTTGGCACACAGATTAACCGGCGGCGGCATGAGCGGCGCCACGAAGCAGGGTTAAAGCGGAAACCCAGCCAAACACTACAGCCGTCAGAGGACCTGGCTGATGGCAAAGCATCTGGAGAAAACGTTGCTTCAAAAGATGAATTGAGTCCTCCTAGTCTTGGGCCAGACTGTCTGATCATGAATTCAGAGAAGGCTTCCCAAGACACAGTAAATTCTTCTGTTGTAGAAGAGAATGGGGAAGTTAAAGAACTTCATCCGTGCAAATATTGTAAAAAGGTTTTTGGAACTCATACTAATATGAGACGGCATCAGCGTAGAGTTCACGAACGCCATCTGATTCCCAAAGGTGTACGGCGAAAAGGAGGCCTTGAAGAACTCCAGCCTCCAGCAGAACAGGCCCAGGCCACCCAGAACGTCTATGTACCAAGCACAGAGCCAGAGGAGGAAGGGGAAGCAGATGACGTGTACATCATGGACATTTCTAGCAATATCTCTGAAAACTTAAATTACTATATTGATGGTAAAATTCAAACTAATAACAACACTAGTAACTGTGATGTGATTGAGATGGAGTCTGCTTCGGCAGATTTGTATGGTATAAATTGTCTGCTTACTCCAGTTACGGTGGAAATTACTCAAAATATAAAGACCACACAGGTCCCTGTAACAGAAGATCTTCCTAAAGAGCCTTCGGGCAGCACAAATAGTGAGGCCAAGAAACGGAGAACGGCGAGCCCGCCTGCACTGCCCAAAATTAAGGCCGAAACAGATTCTGACCCCATGGCCCCCTCCTGCTCCTTAAGTCTTCCTCTTAGCATATCAACAACGGAGGCAGTGTCTTTCCATAAAGAGAAAAGTGTTTATTTGTCATCAAAGCTCAAGCAGCTTCTTCAAACCCAAGATAAACTAACTCCTCCTGCAGGGATTTCAGCAACTGAAATAGCTAAATTAGGTCCTGTTTGTGTGTCTGCTCCTGCATCAATGTTGCCTGTGACCTCAAGTAGGTTTAAGAGGCGGACCAGCTCTCCTCCCAGTTCTCCACAGCACAGTCCTGCCCTTCGAGACTTTGGAAAGCCAAGTGATGGGAAAACAGCATGGACCGATGCAGTGCTGACTTCCAAAAAATCCAAATTAGAAAGTCATAGCGACTCACCAGCATGGAGTTTGTCTGGGAGAGATGAGAGAGAAACTGTGAGCCCTCCATGCTTTGATGAATATAAAATGTCTAAAGAGTGGACAGCCAGTTCTGCTTTTAGCAGTGTGTGCAACCAGCAGCCACTGGATTTATCCAGCGGTGTCAAACAGAAGACTGAGGGTACAGGCAAGACTCCAGTCCAGTGGGAATCTGTCTTAGATCTCAGTGTGCATAAAAAGCCTTGTAGTGACTCTGAAGGCAAGGAATTCAAAGAGAATCATTCAGTGCAGCCTACGTGTAGTGCTGTAAAGAAAAGGAAACCAACCACCTGCATGCTGCAGAAGGTTCTTCTCAATGAATATAATGGCATTGATTTACCTGTAGAAAACCCTGCAGATGTGACCAGGAGCCCAAGTCCTTGTAAATCCCTAGAAGCTCAGCCAGATCCTGACCTCGGTCCGGACTCTGGTTTCCCTGCCCCTACTGTTGAGTCCCTACCTGATGTTTGTCCTTCATCACCTGCCCTGCAGACACCCTCCCTTTCATCCGGTCAGCTGCCTCCTCTCTTGATCCCCACAGATCCCTCTTCTCCTCCACCCTGTCCCCCGATATTAACTGTTGCCACTCCGCCCCCTCCCCTCCTTCCTACTGTACCTCTTCCAGCTCCCTCTTCCAGTGCATCTCCACATCCATGCCCTTCTCCACTCTCAAATGCCACCGCACAGTCCCCACTTCCAATTCTGTCCCCAACAGTGTCCCCCTCACCCTCTCCCATTCCTCCTGTGGAGTCCCTGATGTCTGCCGCCTCACCCGGACCTCCAACACTTTCTTCTTCCTCCTCTTCATCTTCCTCCTCCTCTTCATTTTCTTCTTCATCTTCCTCCTCTTCTCCTTCTCCACCTCCTCTCTCCGCGATCTCATCTGTTGTTTCCTCTGGTGATAATCTGGAGGCTTCTCTCCCCATGATGTCTTTCAAGCAGGAGGAATTGGAGAATGAAGGTCTGAAACCCAGGGAAGAGCCCCAGTCTGCTGCTGAACAGGATGTTGTTCAGGAAACATTCAACAAAAACTTTGTTTGCAACGTCTGTGAATCACCTTTTCTTTCCATTAAAGATCTAACCAAACATTTATCTATTCATGCTGAAGACTGGCCCTTCAAATGTGAATTTTGTGTGCAGCTTTTTAAGGATAAAACGGACTTGTCAGAACATCGCTTTTTGCTTCATGGAGTTGGGAATATCTTTGTGTGTTCTGTTTGTAAAAAAGAATTTGCTTTTTTGTGCAATTTGCAGCAGCACCAGCGAGATCTCCACCCAGATAAGGTGTGCACACATCACCAGTTTGAAAGCGGGACTCTGAGGCCCCAGAACTTTACAGATCCCAGCAAGGCCCATGTAGAGCATATGCAGAGCTTGCCGGAAGATCCCTTAGAAACTTCGAAAGAAGAAGAGGAGTTAAACGATTCCTCTGAAGAGCTTTACACGACTATAAAAATAATGGCTTCTGGAATAAAGACAAAAGATCCAGATGTTCGATTAGGCCTCAATCAGCATTACCCAAGCTTTAAACCACCTCCATTTCAGTACCATCACCGTAACCCCATGGGGATTGGTGTGACAGCCACAAATTTCACTACACACAATATTCCACAGACTTTTACTACTGCCATTCGCTGCACCAAGTGTGGAAAAGGTGTCGACAACATGCCGGAGTTGCACAAACATATCCTGGCGTGCGCTTCTGCAAGTGACAAGAAGAGGTACACGCCTAAGAAGAACCCAGTACCATTAAAACAAACTGTGCAACCCAAAAATGGCGTGGTGGTTTTAGATAACTCTGGGAAAAATGCCTTCCGACGAATGGGACAGCCCAAAAGGCTAAACTTTAGTGTTGAGCTCAGCAAAATGTCGTCGAGTAAGCTCAAATTAAATGCATTGAAGAAAAAAAATCAGCTTGTACAGAAAGCAATTCTTCAGAAAAACAAATCTGCAAAGCAGAAGGCTGACTTGAAAAATGCTTGTGAGTCATCCTCTCACATCTGCCCTTACTGTAACCGAGAGTTCACTTACATTGGAAGCCTGAATAAACACGCCGCTTTCAGCTGTCCCAAGAAACCCCTTTCCCCTCCCAAAAAAAAAGTTTCTCATTCATCTAAGAAAGGTGGACACTCATCACCTGCAAGTAGTGACAAAAACAGCAACAGCAACCACCGCAGACGGACAGCGGATGCGGAGATTAAAATGCAAAGCATGCAGACTCCATTGGGCAAGACCAGAGCCCGCAGCTCAGGCCCCACCCAAGTCCCGCTCCCCTCCTCATCCTTCAGGTCCAAGCAGAACGTCAAGTTTGCAGCTTCGGTGAAATCCAAAAAACCAAGCTCCTCCTCTTTAAGGAACTCCAGCCCGATAAGAATGGCCAAAATAACTCATGTTGAGGGGAAGAAACCTAAAGCTGTGGCCAAAAGTCATTCTGCTCAGCTTTCCAGCAAAACGTCGCGGAGCCTGCACGTGAGGGTACAGAAAAGCAAAGCCGTTTTACAAAGCAAATCCACCTTGGCGAGTAAGAGAAGAACAGACCGGTTCAACATAAAATCTAGAGAGCGGAGCGGGGGGCCGGTCACCCGAAGCCTTCAGCTGGCGGCTGCTGCTGACTTGAGTGAGAACAAGAGAGAGGACGGCAGCGCCAAGCAGGAGCTGAAGGACTTCAGGTAAGCCCAGGAGCTGGTGGGAGGGAAAGACTGGGAAGGCGACAGGATCCTTGCCTACGGGCGGTTTTTGGTTTCTTGTTGCTTTCCCCCCACCCCCGTAAAATTTCGACCTAAACACTGAAAGGAAATAGCTGTTGCATAAGTTAAAGGCATGGGTCACTGCTTTGGTTGCTTTTAGAGATGAATAAATAGTTTTAATTTCAGACTTAGGACTCACAAAGTGGTGCCACTTCTTTAATACGGCCAGATGTAAATTGAATTTGAAACTATAGAAAAGCACTCAAAAGTACTCTAAGAAAATATGAAATCCTCTCAAACTTCCTTTATGTCTCGGATAATAGGTCAGTGTCACGTGTCTTATTTCCCGATCATAGGACATTTCTTAGGTTAAGACGGGTCATTAAGTTCATTAGTAAACCTTGTTACAATCTTGTTTAATATTTCTGTGACTTCAGTATAGATCTAGTACCTGAGACTTTCTTTCATTGCCAGTGCTTAAATTTTAACAACTGATTGCATTGGTCAAAACAAAACATAGTCCTTTAAAAAGGCCTTAGCCCTGTCCGCCGCCACCTGAGCTCAGCCATAGGACAGTAAACAAGTCAGGTTCTGGTTGGGAAGCAGAGTAGGAGAGACGTGCTTGGAACTCCAAGCAGGACCCTTGGCGGCTCTTTCAGGCCGGTATGATACCCAGGGCATGGCAGCCTCGTTTGTCAGTACCTTTGTCTCCTCGTTAATGATGGAAGGATTTGTCTTAGATTTGAAGTGACTTTACTGCTTTATTGCCTGTGCTTCCTATATTAAGAACTGTTCTCAGTGACAGATGAAGAGAGAGGGCAGTGGTTGAATTTGTTACTTTGGATTCTCAGACTTTCTAAGTCCTTTGTCCGAAGTGGATGTGTATTGGAATTCCTGCTGTTTCTTTCTGAATAGTTCAGTCTCGTGAAAATTACTCATCAGATAGCATTTCTGCAAAATACTTGTAAATCTTGTCTTTTCACGGTATGCCACCTGACTCTAGGCCTTCATGCTATAGCTTTGGGTGTCCGAAAATTCTTTGGTGTTTTAAGCAAGCGGAATTAGGGATCCTAAGTGTGGACGCGACTGCCGTTTTGTAGAGGTCACGAGGACACAGGTGCCATTAGCTCTGTATAATTGATCAGGTAGAATTTTTAATGCTGGTGTGCCTTAAATCACAGCTAAAGATAGAGAAGAATCATTAACTCAGGCTGATTTGAATGATTTACTGTAGGATTAATGGATCAGATTTTTAAAAAACTACTTCATAAATGTGTTAAATATTTAGTTGCCATAGGGCTGACCAACACTTGGTCTCTGGCCACGGCACATACATAGGTAGCATCTTGGAGGTTAGCTCTGCTGAAAATAAGCACCTGTGTTATCAGTTTTCAAAACTGCTTGCCTTTAGTAATTGAACTGTGCACCTGTTTGTGCTCAGTCTGTGTTCTGGAGGTGCCACACCAATAGGACATGATCAAATTGAATCCTTTTCAAGTTGCTTATGTCTTCAACAAACAGAATGTGCCTTCATTTTCACAGATTGTACTATAAAACACCTCTCAGGTGGTTGATGCTTTAGAAAGTACTGTTTCTATCTTTTTTGTCTTCAGTGTTATCTAAAAGAAGTGCTTGTTTTGTACTGGGCCCCACTTACACAGTTCAGCGTTAAAGTTGATTTGGAAAAATTAAGTTCTGCAAAGAATAGCTGTCAGAGTGACTATAAATTTATCAAGTCTCTTCAAATAGCCTCTACCCAGTATCTTTTGAGTAACCTTTAAGACTACAGAGGACTAAAGTGCCTTAAAAATCGTGTCTCTCCTTTGCTCCAGTTAATTTTCATTATTTTGCTTTGTTTGATAGTTAACAGTGGGTTACCTTGCTGGAGTGAAATTTGGCCTAAAAGGAAGCACAGAAGAATCAGATAAGAAAACATTGGTATGGTCCTAACCGTAGACGGTAATGACAGGCCTTGGTGGCAGCTCTGTGTGAGGTGCTGGAACTGTGCTGTGGACACATCTGTAGGTCAGAAATGTGATCCAAGGGTCCACTTACCAAATCACCATAAACCTGAGAAGTGTTCTTGGGAATTAGAAAACAAATGTTCATCAAGATATATTTTGACTATCTGGACACAAAAGTGGGCATTTCTTTGAAGTGTTTGTTTTGGTCTTAGTACATTGTAGTGAGTCAGTTTTGTAACTGGGATTCGTAAACTTAGACCTGGGTAATGTGATGATTGTCATTAACTTGTCGCCCAGGGCTCTTACAGAGGCGGCCTCAGCCTCAGTGCATATTTGTTGCATTACACTAATAAGGAGTTGTTTGAACTACAGTCGTCTTCCTGTTTTAAGTATAGTTCTACTTGTAAATTTTGTGTAGGGATGATTCCTGACACAAGGAATCATCACATCTATTACATGTCTAGGAATACTCACTTGCACTCTGTTTGCAGCTTGCTTTACTTACCCTGTTGGATACACAGGGATGACTTATAGAACAGGCAGCACATCCTTGTCCTGTGTATATCTTTACAACAAGCTGTGATTAAGAGCTAGTTTTCGATACTCAGATATTTTACATTTCAATGCCACTTTAGGATTCCACAGTTTTTCGAGTATATGCTTGCAATCAGCCATGTGATTTTTCCATGAGTTTTCTACTTAACACTGAGGGTCATTTCCTGGAACATAAGCCATGGTACCAGACAAGGTGTCAAAAAGCCATGTGCTCCAAATGTTTTTCTTAGGACAAAACACAGGAAAGCAGGCATGCCACAGTCATTCAGGTTCTCCTGCTGCAGCTCTTACTACAGTGACCCACCCCCCATCCCTCACCATGGCTTTCTGTAGTGCCGAGTTTAAATCTGTTGCTAAGGGATCATTTCCAGGGGCTCCAATAAAACAAAGGGAAGGAAAGAGGTACATTCTCTACTCACCTCCTACCCATCTTTCACTCATGGTGTTTTTGGGTTCTTTAATACTTCTTTTAGAGCCACTTTTTTCTTTTCAAACTGAGTTCCCATCGCAGTCAGTCAAAAAAACTTAAAGGTAGAGAAGCAAAATGAAATTCTAGGCCAAGTTTTTCCATTTACCAGGAATTGATTAAAAAAATAAAGTGCTAATTTCTCCTCCATCTCTGCTACACCCCTTGGAAATAAATGCATGTAGTTCCCTGCAGGGTGTATCTTCTGGGTAGGACGCTCGTTCCTAAATACCTTCAGTCATGTGTGTGTTGTCGTCTTAATAACATTTGTCTTACGGTCTATTCACTTTTTTCTTTAACATGGTCAATTCATGTAAGGTTATGTTATGTTGTCATTTATCTTCAGTTTTCTTATTTTCTAGGAACTTCCTGTAGAAAAGCCCCCAAAACAAAACAAACCTTAATTGACTAAAAGGTATTGCATGCTCAACTTAGGATAAGCACTACGGCAAAGGATACGAAATCTACCAAGCTTGCAAGACCAGTTGAAGCTGACTCAAAATCCTAACATTCAACTGATTGCCGGCAGGCTTAGAGTCAGGCATCTGCTGCTTCGGTGGGGCCCAACGCGCATGCTGGGCGCCCGGGTGATTGAGATCCAAAGAGAAGGGCACTGTAAGACGGGCCAGATGAACTGGCTCCTCGTCATGGGACTGGTACCTCAGATCTGAGCATGGCCCTTGTTTTTGGCACGTAGCGGAGAAAGGAATGATTTGAACTTAACCTTGCAAAGCAAGTTCTCTGTTTTAGCAGTAGTTTGTTGTAGGTTTCAGGGATGACAAATTTGGATGCACTCATTTAAAACATTTTGGTCGCATATCAGCTCTTGATGCCTTTCTTTTAAATTAATTATAGACAGAGAGAGGCATTTAGCTGATCTCTTACCCTGGTATTTCTTGTTTTTTTGTTGTTTTTGTTTTTTAAATCACAAGTAGATTGCCAGCTTAATGGAGAGGAAACCAGATTGGATATGGACTCTTTTTTATGCCTATTCTGGTGTTGCGTTTGTATATCCAAGTGGACATTATCCTCTCAGATTCTTATCTGGCACTAATTTATAACTATTATATTATCAGAGACTATTTAGCAATATATCAATGCACAGGCGCATCCCAGGCCTGTACAGATGTATGTCTACACGTAAGTATAAATGAATTTGCATACCAGGTTTTACACTTGCATCTCTAATAGAGATTAAAAACAACAAATTGGCCTCTTCCTAAGTATATTAATACCATTTGTCCTTGCATTTTATGCCTCCCCCTAAATTAATGACTGAGTTGGTGGAAAGCGGCTAGGTTTTATTCATACTGTTTTTTGTTCTCGACTTCAAAAGTAATCTACCTCTTAAAAATTTGTAGTTTAATATTTGTTTGGTGAATTTGTGCCACTTTAATCCTTCCACTATCATTCCCATTTTGTTACATTTCTGTTATGGGGACTTTATGTTGAAATATTGTATAAAGCATTTGTAGCAGTTTAAAAATAAAATATTTAAAATTATTTAAATTGTTTTGGACGCTTCAATTGTATTATATGTGATTTACATTTCACTTTTTTTGTTGGCGTTGTTAACCCGGAGAGTGCTCCTGTATTGAACTTTGCTGTTAGTTATTTTATTGCTTCTTTTTGGAGAGTGCTATAAAAGACTATTCTAATGAAAACATTAAAATTTACAATTTGACATACCAAAAGGGGTTGTCCATTGATTTTAACCAATGTAGCATTGAGAGAGAGAGAGGTTAATCATAGATAGACAAGAGTGGTGGTTGCTGTTTTTCCCCTCCAGCATTGAAATCATTGGGGCTCGTCAGATGTATTAAAAAAAGATTTTTTGTGCTATTGCTGCAAACACTTAATAACTAGAGGAGAATTTAAACAATGCATTTTATATTATTGTAACCAATAAAAAACTTTCTAAACATCTGTGAAAGGACTGCATTTTGTACATAATTGGGAGCAGTTAGGGGGTAAAACAAGGTGTGTGGAGGACTATT